AAATAAATATCACATAACACAAGTTTATTATATATATATCTATATTTGTTTTATGTATTTAAAAATATTTGTTTTAGATATAAAAAGAAATGAATGATAAAAATGATAAAAGGAAATTAGAAATCAAATGCAGAGACTGTTGCATTTAGACATTGAGGGTACTGGGTGGTTGATTGGGGGATGCCCTGGCACCAGCTACCTTCCAGAGGTGGGGGCAGACTGTGCCGGGAACCCTCTTTGATACTTCCAGTTTTAATCACACTGGAAAACAACACGCAACAACACAACATTTGAGCGGGTGCAGGTAGGATTGGGGTCTGTCTCACCCCCCTGTTCTCCGGTTGCCACCCGGAGTCTGGGGCCCAGAGGAAGGGCGGGCCACCTGTTCCGGGGTTTTGGCGGGGGGATGTTGCGGGACCTGGGTAGCTTGCCGGGACTGGGGCTCACACTACTGCTCTCCTCAAAAAGTGGTAGGAGTAGCTAGGGTATGCGGGATGGGGGGTCGGGTGCAAAGCAGGAACCAGATGGATTGGATAGTGGCGGTGACACTGCTCCCCTCCCCCCATCTGGATTTCAGGGTTCACCTACTGGGCCATCCGGTAATCCAGGGACTGGCACCAGTGCTGCCGGGTCCTCGGTCCTGGGATTATTGAATGTGAGTGTTATGTGTGACTGTGCATATGCCTTTTTTTTTTTTTTTGAGTCTCTGTGTAGCGAATGGGGTCACTAGGGTGGGAAGGCGTGATTCAGACTGTGTATGTTTTTTGTTTTTTCTGCTTACTTGTCAGGTTCAGGTCTGAACTGCTCCCTCTCCAAAGAACATCTCACCCATTCACCCCGTCCTGCCCCCCTATGCTGGCTGGCACCTGGGCTCGTTGGTGCACTGGTGGTGCTCAGTGCCCGGGTGGCTGCTTCGTGGGGCCTGGCCCCCCGGGGGTTGGGCGCCCATGGCCGGTTCCTCTCCGGGGCGGTTGGCTGCCAGCGGTGCCTGCAGGCTTGTCCCTATGGCTCCTCGGGGCTTCGGCATTGCGGTGGCCGTCTCTCCTCTTCCCTTGGTGGGGGGCAGATGCGCCTCTTGGACGCCTTTGTTCTGGGAAGCCCTTTGGCCATCTGGGGTTTTGGGTCCCCCGGCGCTTGCCTCGGTGCTCTGGAGGGGCAGGTCTTTGGCTCTTCGCAACCATTATTAAGCATTTTTCCTTTTGATAAACTTTACATGCAGGAGTGCACTCTCACAAACAACTACAGGCTATTGGCACCAGGTACTTAGAGATTCACTTCCATACAGAAAGCCCATGTTCTGATCTTCAGCTACCACAGTATACATGTCAGATTAAATAATACTACTTATACTTCAGCGATAGTATGAAGGTGCAACTTTATTGTATCTGTTATACTATATCTGTTGGTTGTGCTGTTCTTTTTGTATATTTCCTTCCAGGTGACGAAGCAGACAGAAGACATTTTATCTCTTTTTTCTCCTCTTTCTTTCATCTTTTCTCCTTTTTCCTGTTTTTCCTTTCCTGTTCTACTTACATTGCAGTGTCCATATAATCTGTAATACTCCCTGCATGAATTATAATAAAGCCATTTATATGCATATATCAAGCGGAACACCATGGCGAAAGCCGTACTGCTCCACTTGTGAAAGTAAAATCTGTCGGGCTCTTATTGCCACGTTGCCAGACAGGACACTAAAAAAAAAAAAAAAAGAAAGAAAGAAAGAAAGAAAAAGAAATAAAATACAGACAAAGTTCACATTGTTTATTGAAAATTAAACAAAGATCCTAATATAACTTCCAGGACAGCAACTCAAACTGACATTAAATCAGAGTCATGTAAACAAAATTTGACGTTATAATGAATCATACAGTATAGAAGAAAAAAAATAAAAACTTTAGATTTAGAGCAGAAGCAGCCAGTCCTTTGAGTCAATATTCAACTTTTACTGTTTGTTCACATAAAGCCCATAAAAGAAAACATTTCTAGCAAAACCCTTATAACAGCGAGAACGGACATCACTCCAACTAGACCTGTTATTTTCCAGTTACTATTTAATAGGCTTATATGGATGTTGGTATGATGAAATGATTCTCCATCACCAGACCATGTAAAAAGCTCCCTTTTGTAATGGTAAAAAAATATATTTTTCCCTTAAATTTAATCTTATATCTTTTTTAAATTGTTTGTTATTATTTATTTTTAGATGCATCAACAATCGAGACGTTTTTTACTACCTTTTAATTAGTTTATAGAAATGTAGCCGCTCTTCAATAGGCTATAGAAACGTTCATCCTCATCAGTAACAGGATTCAGAATTCTGAAATAATCACTTATAATAATAACATAACAGTATCTTGAAAATGTTTTTCACCTATAAACTCAAATCTATTGTGTTCAGATGTGGGTGGTAAACAATTACATTCATTGGAGGAACTTTTTGACCAAAAAAAATACACTAAAGAGTAGTTTTGGGAAAAATCTCTACCCCAAACCTATGCAAAGGTTATTATACTGATTGTTGAGCTACATTTTCTTAAATAAAGATAAATAATCTAGCATAATCTTAGTATATTGATCTGAAAACAAGATTAGGAGGAACTTTTGATTTCAATTAGATAATAAGACATTGTAGGTTAGACCATTTTTGCAGTGTTTGGGTTTATTACTGTTTAACTCCATGTTTAAGTCTCTATTTCTTATAACATGTTAGTCCCCCAAATTTCCTTACATTATGTGTTTCTCATTTCATTTTCATATCAACATCAGATGACTTTGCACAGTCTGGTGACAGAGAACAGTTTCCCATATAAAGCTACATTATTTCGTCCACCTTTAAAAGGTTTAGTAAATACCTCTAATATGGTTTTGATTTTTGCACATCTCATCATTCTGCATGATCTGTTATTTCCTTCACAAATTATGCTAAAATCACAATATTTCCAGGGCGATCCAGGCTTTAAAATCAGTTAAAGTGTATGGATTGGGAGTGCAATTCCAGTTTTATCCGTCGTCTAAAGTTGCTTTACTTAAACTCCACGGATTATATTAAAAGCAGCAAATTGCACTGCTGCTATGATGCAATCAAGTGGGAAATAACAATAGTGTGTCTTTATCAGTGTCAGATTTCAGCCCATAAAATAGGGCCTTATCAAACACATTAGTGTCGCACATTAGCACTTCTATGTACAAGTAATTAAAGACCTGAAAACTAAAGTCCCAAGAGAGCAAAGGCAGAGGATTTCTCTAATAGTGTTTAACCAGCAGAGAAAAAAAAAAGATTTTTATCAAGTCACTTTAAAATGCACGGCTGATCTATGTGAGATCTTAAGAGGTATTGGTTTGAAAAGAAGGTAGGCGACAGGCACATGACGGTGCACAGCTTTTATCAAGACTGTACCATTCATGGCGTAAGCGTAGGGATCTAACTTAGCATAATTTCAGAAGGATTTTCACGACAGGAATTAAATTAGACGCAGAGCTAAGTCTGCTTTACGGAGAGCCCAGCTAAAAAAGGAAAAAAGATAACTGAGAAATGTGATTTTTTTCTCTCTCTGTACATTAGATGAAAAATGCAAATATCTTAACTAAAATCTACAAAACAAGGATTAATGGAGATTTGGTAAAGGCAAGGAACCTACTTGGAAATTCAGGTCTTAAGCTGATTCTAAGGCCATTTATTTCTTCAGACGGACGGAATGATAGAAAAATGAAATGTATTAGAAAGGAGATGACTCCCCCTGGATGAGCTAGCATCCGCTGATAAAGGTCCTTCTACGAGAAATGTAAAAAGTAAACAAAGTTTGATATTATTAGAGTGGAGAAATCTCAGCATATGAAAGCTCTCCATTCACATGTTCGGAACAGAAAAATGTGTTGATTGCAGATCGACAATTAAAACATTGATGTCCATCTGTGAAAATACCCACTTAGATCGCACATCCAGGATGATGTGCTTTCTGATAACAAAGAAAGCAGATAGCCAACGAGATCTGTCTGTTTTATTTCCAATGTTCTGTTTTCTCCTGTGCAACAAGAACAAAGAGAATCCAGCATTTCCCCTTTTACTACTTTATTTCTTCTTTTTTGTCCAGAAAGGCTACAGGAACCAATCAAACTGCAAGGCTTTACCCTTGCCAAGGACAGGAGGACTGACTACGCTGCTACTGACATCTGAGCATCCCCTTCCCCATTATTCCATTGCTCTTATCTGCAGAAACACTAAAATCTGGTTAAATGAAGCCATTTCCTCATTTGCCTTTAGAGGTCACTTTTCATGCTTGAAAAACTCCAGTAATTTAAACAGCACTGGGGGTGCCATTGTAATAATAGCTAGTTCAGAGAGGGTGCAGAGGCTCGGCCTTCACTCACATATCAGTGCTGGAATTCTCTCTGTGCTGCAGAGCTAATTGAGTGGCAATCAATCAATAGCTCAGACAAAGCAAGGAGCTTGTGTGATCAATAAAGGAAATAATTAGGTCACATATTTTTTCTTTATGCACAGAAGGACCTATCCCAGAGCTAGATACACCCGCCGATGTGTTTTAATTCCAGAGGCTCATAGAGCACAGGCCGGGGGTTCTTCTGCTCTTAGAGTTGTTCCTGAACCTCGTAGACTTCTACTTTGCTGGTGACTCAGGATGAAAAGCAGAGACTGCAGCACTCCATACAGATCTCTAAGCAGTCTGCAGACTCACAACACGCATCGATGATGCCACAGTCCATGTCACAGGGCAGGTCACAGTCACCGCACTCCTCCGACGCGCAGCAGCAGCAGAAGCATGAATCGTCCCCCGCGCAGGAGCCACAGGTGGCACAGTCCAGCATAATGTTGCACAGGGTCAGAAACTCACAGAAGAGGCAGGCCAGGATAAGGTGGACGCAGCAGTCTGCAGGGAAAGCGACAAAATAAAACCAATCGTCTTATTTTTTTTTACTATTTTATTGTGAGCCTATTTCAATTTTCAAGCCTATTGTTCATAATACTGCTAATTATGAAGTAAAGGTTTTGACCTAAGGTTAGTAGCTGCAGCTAGGAAGAAAACTGTGGATTTGGGATTTCCTGAAAAGTAGCCAATCACAGGTAGTTTATATTCTCAGGTTGGTTCCACCTTCAAACTGACAAAATTTGACATGAGCGCAAAAAATCTGGTCCACGTGACTAGGAGAGAATCGCAGATAGCAGAGAAGGAGCATGATGTCATGAGGGGGACATACTGGGGAGACTTATGGAATTCAATCTACACGACATAAAGCTTTCAAAAATGCCCATTAAGAGTAGTGTACATTGTTTTAGACAAAACTGCAAGCATGAGTATTTATCAGCTGTGCTGCTGCCATTAACACCTTTGTTAACAGATGTTGGAGATCAGCATCGCTGCAGTCGTATTACTGGAGTTACTGTAAGACTGCTTAAAGAGCTCCCTGGAAATTACCAATATCTGCTCTGAAACACTAAAGGAGCAGCAAATATAAATCCTTCAACACTTTACCAGTCATAATCTGGGTACATTTAAAATAATTTAAGCTGAGAGTTTAATGATGTAACATTCAAAGGCAGAAAAGAAAAGAAAACTCCCATCAGCAGTATTCAGTCAGCATCTTACCATCCTGTGCATCTGTGGGAATCTGGGAACTGTTGCTCTTCGAACTGCTCTTGCTCCTTTTGCTGCTCTGGGACGTGATGGAGGGGTTTGACCGCAGCTTCTTGGTGCCTTTGGTTCCTGCAGAAGAAGACGATGAGGTGGAAGAGCCACCTCTCGGAAGAGAGCCCAGCTTGGGATGTTTGTGAGAGCCCCCGTTCCTGACGGGATTGGACTGTAGGCCACGCGTGTGCGCTGTGGGTGTGTGATGAGAACAGTGCGTGTGAGGTGGGTGCCTGTGGTCGTGGCTCTTGGCTCCATTGCGTAGCAGGCCGCCGGGCTGCGACTGACAAGGCTGGGTGTGATGGATGGGAGTGGAGCTGGCAGCCGGTTGAGCTGGGGATCGACAAAAAGAATCAGACAGTTACAAAGGGACAAATTATATAACAATAAAGGTCAGTTAAGTTTAGATTAGTGGTGCCTCTCCTCTCCTCTCCTCTCCTCTCCTCTCCTCTCCTCTCCTCT